CTTTACTTAAATTACGACAAATGCAATCAAATTGCATCCAGCAGAAAACGATACCCAGTGAATTTCACTTATAGGCTTGGACCCTTGAATGTATTATCAAAGCTGAACGATCTTGGCGTTGTCCTGGATTCTAAATTACTTTTCAATTATCATGTTGAGGAATTACGCTGTAAAATAAACAGGCACCTATGGGTCATCATTACAATATCAAGACCTTTTACTAATCTACATTGCATTAAAACTTTATTCATATTAAACAGTTGTTAACAGTGTTCTTGATTACGCTTCGGTTGTTAGTACAGGGTTCCACTGTGTATGCTACGAATGTTGACCGTATTGAGGCTTTGCAGAGAAGATTTGTATGCTACTTGGCACACAAGTTCAACTTACCGTACTGTACATACGGTAAATGGTGTTATTTCTGCATAAATTGATCAGCAAATCAGTTGACTCGCCTGAACTTGTGAGACAAATTTCATTTGCTATTCCGAATTATCCCACACGAGATCAATGTTTGTTCCGACTACTCGCTTCCTCAACAAACGCTCATTATAATTCCTCGATTCCTCGAATAATGCTAACTTACCATTGTCACTGCTCAAACTGTGACATTTTTACTTTATCGCTTGCGTCGTTCCGTAAAGTTTTAACAAACTTAACAATTTGTCAATGACAATTCAGTTTTAATTTGACTTCAACTTTGGTGTCTATTAACATCTGCAAAGGAAGTTTACTTTTAAGTTAATTATTGTATGGTTTTATGTAGACTAGTATTATTTTTTTATATTTAATTAAACTGCGTATGCTCATGTGAATACTATAATTCGGAGTTTCTTTGTGTTTTCATATTTTATTCTTTTGTCTTATTAATGGATACTATTGTAGGGTCTCCCTGTTCCTATCCCAAATAATAAATAAATAATAACTTGTCAATACCCTATAAAACAAAATAGTATTACCTTTGTGCATCATAATGATTTAAAAGATTAATCGATGATGTAAAGAAGTAGCTACATATTCGGATAATAATCACTTAATTATCTTTAGTTGTAGACTTTTCATATAGACTGGTGATTCCTAATTTAGCCTAACTATAATTAAATAAAAACCACAGTAAAAACTTAAATATATTTAGATTATTTTGTGTGGCATTAATTGTAATCTGGCGACGGTAGGTTTTCATGTAAGTACCATATGATCGTAATAGATACGTTAAGGTGCGTAAAACCTTCGCCACAGAGTGGAGCAAATACTGGAAATGTCTAATTTTCTCGTAAACGGAGAAATTTTAGCAAACCACGAGAGTATCTCAGAAAAGTGGAAAAACTATTTCCATGGACTTATTAAACCCAATGGTTAGTCAAGTTGAACTGAATATAGAACGCCAGGGATAGACAACGTTCCAACAGGACTCATTAAGAAAGTGGTAGCTCAATTTCAAAGGCTATACACAGTCTAATAAATAAAATATGGGTTACCGAGCAGATACCAGAGGAATGGAAAACAAGTGATACACCCAATACATAAAAGGGAGACAAATTACTATGTGAAAACTATAAAGATATTCACAACCATCGTTAAAGACAAATTTAAACATTTGACAGAGAAAATATTAATATACCTGACCAGATTCACCGTCCGACAAATAAATGAGAAATTCAGGAAATACGACATAGACATATTCCAGTTATACATCGACTTCAAAAAGCTTACAACATAGATAGAAGTAAGCTTCTATTAATACTGTTAGACTTCGACATGTATGTAGACGACATCAACATACTAGCAAGAAAGGTAACAGATATGAGTCTTTCAGGGAACTTGAAAGCTAAGGGAATCGGTCTGGAAATCAATGAGAAAAACCAAACTCCAAGCACAGAGCAGGTAACCACAAAATCGGATATTACGGAACATCGCAATAGACGAATACAACTTTGAAGTGGTACAAGAGTTCCACATACGGAGGGTGTAACATGTCTCATAACAACAACAAAGCAAGGGAGGTAATTAAGAGAATAAATGCGGCAAATAAGGCATATTATGCCACACTCCCCATAATATAATCCAGAGATATTCACAGAAAAACCAAAATTAGGGTGTATAAAACCATGATTCGTATAGTACTATAAAAAAAGCTCAATCGGTTAACATAAGCAGGGCATGTTCAGAGGATGCCGGATGAAAGAGTACCAAATAACACACAACAAGGACAGCCTGGGAGTTAGAGATCAATTGAAAAACCCAGAGCACGATGGAATGAGGTGCGAAAGAATGCCGGGAACATGTCAGGAGCTACTAACTAAGAAACAGCATCAATCAGCTTGAATTAGGCCGACATAAATTCCAATAATGACAAGGTGTTGTATTCAAAAATCCAAAGTGACTCATGATATTAGGAAAGCTATAAATCTGGTATCACCGTATCTTAAAATAAGCATATCTCAAGTTTGGTACGATTTTGGTTATCCGTTTAGGAATAAATTAGACGTTTCCAGAGTTTTGTTCCACTTTGTAGAAGTATGTGTTGCCTGCTCGATTTACGTCTTCGTTGTGCTAAACCAGTGCACGATGATTCTGAAACCGATGTTTTTAATCAAACTTATGTTTTTGCAACAAATTATTATTAATAAGGTGAATTCTCGCAATCTCTGAAGGAGAAAGTATGTACCTTTTGTGGTCTGAAAAAACTTAACATGAAATATATACAGTGGTGGTCATTTAAATAGGGACATCATTTTTTATTTTAAAATGTTGAGTTTTTTTATTAAATTGCTTTATTCAATTTCTTGAACGAAAAAAATTATGTTTATTATCTTATAATTCATGTAATTATTGAAATGAAAATAATACATAATTGGTAACTTAAAAAATAAAATAAATACATATTGGCTATTTTATTAAGAATTAATTAATTAACGTTTTAAATGTAAATTTTCATTTAAATCTAATATTTAGTAGGATAACCCCTTAATTTAAATTTTTGCACCGTCGAGGAAGACTATTCTGCCATATTTCCTTTACATTTTTGAACAATTCGTCAGCATATTTGTTTATTTTCTTTTCCAGAGCCCTTTCAACATCTGCCCAGAGGTTTTCAATTGGATTTAAGTCGGGACTCTGGGCAGGTCAGTTTAAAACATTAACGTTTTCGGCAGAAGCCCATGCTTTAACGCTTCTATCAGTATGCTTTGGATCGTTATCCTGTATAAAAATGAATAGGATAAGCATATATTCGTCCGCAAATAGCTTCATTATTCGCCATGATGTCTTTGCATAAATGTTGGCCCATTCATTGAGTTATCCGACGAACAGGACCCACACCAAACCACAAAAATGTACCCCAAACCATAATATTTCCTCCACCATGCTTTACGGTCTTTAAAGTATACCGAGAGTCTAATTCCTTGTTTGGGGGGCGTCGTACATATTTTTACCATCTGATCCAAACAAGTTGAACTTTGATTCATAACTCCATAGTGGTTTTTCGATGTGTTCCTTTGTAAACTGAATTCGACGCTTTAAATTCTTATTCGATACATGTGACTTTTTCCTTGCAATGCATCCACGGAGTCGACTTTCCAATAGTCGACGTCTTATGGTTCGCGTTGATATTTCAATACTTAATTGAGCCGTTATTTCGCCATGAATTTGCTTAGAACTCAAAAAAGGATTGGCTCTGCTTGTTCTGCAAATTAAGCGATCTTCTGCTGGAGTAGTTTTTTTGGGCCTGGATTTCCGTTACACGCCATGAAAGTGACTTAGCGTGATAATAAGAGCCAGGAAAATTTATGTATAAAATGTAAACTTTTTAAGTATATTTGAAAATTTTGAAGTGTCCTTAATTAGCCGTCCAAGCTAAAATAATCAATATTTATTTATTTAATTTTTAAGTTATTATGAGCACATTATTTTCGCTTCTTTTTCAATTAACACATGAGTTATAGGATAGACATAATTCTTTTTTTTAAAGAAAACAGATCTAACATTTTAGTAAAAAGAACGCAACGTTTTAAACTGAAAAATGCTGTCCTTAATTATATGACCACCACTGTAGGTACATTTTATCGGTCAAGCTCGATTTCAAACTAAACTAGTTTTGCCTAGGCAAAATCCAATTTGACTCATCTTGTACTGTAGTGGGCAAGAAACTTTCATTGTGTTAAAAGGGATAAAAGCAATTTAGCCCAGACTACCCTAGCCGGTATTAGTTTAGTATGAAGTATGAATTTATTAATAGGCCAAAGTAGTTTGTCGTAGGTTGAACTATTTAATCCTAACATGCACAGTCTAAAGTGGTGTGATCTATGAAAAACTAGTTCGTTATACAATAAACTCCTGATACAACTTTTCATTGATCTATAGACGAGTTTTGGTTACCTTGTTATGAGTTGTTCTAAACTTTGTTCTATTTAATAGCATTAAAGTAAATAAATTGAAAATTGCTTTTATGAAAAAATAATTATTTGATATCCCAATTGTTGTTTGAAAAATTTACGCCTCCACATCCAATTGGCATTCTATTAATTTTTTACACCATTGCGCGAATATGAAAATAATTATGCCATAAATACACAATGCAAGGTCCCCTTTATTTTATTACTGAAATATCTCACCACATCAATCAATTAGATTTCAAAAATACTCAACACCGGTTTATTTATAAACTAAAATCGTAGTAAGAAGTTATTTTCGAAATGAGCCGTATTTTTACGAATATAATCTATAGATACTTTTTAACTTGTAGTCAGAACGACATAAACACGGTCCCCGTGTCGTTTAAGCCATCAAGATAAAAAAAAATAAAAAGGAACAACATCCTGTGTTACTGTGTCGTAACGTTACGACCGGATTCTTTTCCCTAGAAACTTTCGCTATTTTTGCGTTTCATGTTTAGTTTTGAAATTCTTTCTGGCGCCCACGATTCCAACTAATTGAGTGGATTTAGTTGGCGAAATCGATTTAATCTAATTGAGGGGTATGTTGAAAAATTAAACAGGAAGAACATTTTTAAATTTATTGAAAATTTTCCCGGTACATTAAAAATTAAAGAACTAAACAAGGACTGTCTGAGTGTAATAATGGTCCTTCCTAGAAAGCCGGGGCAAACGGTGTGCCCTTTGTGTTTGTATTCGTTAGGCGAGTTTCCATGGTGACATGTCAACAATCAATTGTGACCACGTATACATAGAGGCGGTCCAATGCATATGGCCAACGCTACTACTACTCCTTTTTCGCGTTGATAAAATGATTGTATCAAGGAACTTTGGTCAGTTCGTACACGTCCTCCGGTGAAAGCACATCTTCCGTCATAGATGTTCCAAGTGAGAAAACCCATCATCTATATACATATATATACATTTAAACCATCATATTTACATACCTCTCAATGGTTGTTGCAACACACTTTAGATTTAAGAACCATCGAGATGTATGCTACTTTATGGATGTACAACGAGACGATGTTTCTTTAACATTTTGACGTTTTCTCTTGCAGACCGTAAACTACTCCAACTACTTCCGAGGGACTACGCTGAGAAGAGTCTTGGCGGTATCCTTCGACATTGATTTAATTTGAGGTGAGTGCTTTCTAGTTTCTAGTCAGTCTTGGTTTATATACTGCTACCACTCTTTTCTCGTGTCATGAAGTCTTTTATTTGCTCATTTATCTTGTCTCGTCGGTTTGTCGGGATTTTCGATGACGTAGCAGCCCTAAAAATACTCTCACCCTTTTCGCCAGGTTAATTCTTTAATGTGTGGATCGTGTTAATAGATCGTTTAAGAGTAAATTTAGTTTGATAGGCGGTCCTATTAATATAAATATACCGACAAAAATAACGTGAATTTATTTTTGCATATGAAGCTTTATCGTTAAACCTAGTTTTATGTGGATTAACTCAAATAAATTTCGTGGTACACCAAAATATAAGCATTAATTAGTAAAATAATAATAAATGTTGAGTTTAAAATATCACCAAAGTTAAAAGGAGGTTAATCATTTTTAATATTTTTTTTCCATCTTAAGTGGATGTGATTAATGATGTTTATTGACAACCCACGTTAAATATAAAGAGCCCAAATTCTATTTACACACATCTTAACGGTGTTAGAAGCGATATTCGTTTAATTTTTATTTAAGCTCTTAAAATTTGAGACAATGTTAAACATTAATGTTAACTGTGGTTTTACAGTTACTTAGTTCTTATTACATTGAACTCGAGACTTCTTAGAACCCTCATGAATGATTTATGAATTAAAGTAATAAAGAAAGTTTTTTAAGTCCACGAAAATAAAATAAAAATGAAATAAAATTTTCAATTTTATCAAGTTTAACGCAAACAACTAAGTATCAAAAATTTATTATGCGCATAAATTTAGTTACGAGATGATATTAATCTTCGCTGGCCATCGTACTTAAAGATATAAAAAAATTCAACAATTTGCTACAAAATTGTTTCCGAGAGTTGTATGTTTTAAATAAAATGTTGTAAAGTGCTAGGTTCTCGCAAGATTTATGCTTGACGATCCAAAATTTATTAGTACACTTTTCCGAATTACAAAAAAAATCTTAATCCTTGAAATAAATTTTATTTTGTGAAATCAGTTTTAGTTTTGGCGGAACAAACTTTTAAAATTAATCGAAACTACTGGAAACGTTTCAATTTTACTCTGGATTAATTTCAATAGGGACAACAAGTATTTGTTTTTAATTATTTTGCAGTTGGAACCGATCACTGCAAGGGGAATTAAAACAATGTTGTCCTTGTTGTTTTTAACCAAGCTTTCGAGTTAATTTATTCCTTCTCCAGGGTAAAAAAATGAAAGCGTATGAAAAACCAAATGTTAATCTGGTGTCCAGGCTTTAGGTTTGTTAATATATACTTGGTTTTAATACGCTTCCATTTTTTACCCTAAAGAAGCAATTAAGTTAATTCTGAAAGCTTGGTTAAAAAAAAGCAAAGACAACGTTGTTTTAATTTCCCTTGCAGTGGTCGATTTATCAAAATCTTCTACAGTTCCTGCATTGTAACAACCGTTATTCCTTTCTACGTATTTTGTAGTTGGTTTTGCAAAAAGAAACTTTTTAGTCTTAATCCCTGAAATATTAAAATCATAAAACTTTAATGATATATCATAAGTTTCAAAATCACTTTGGATCAATAATGACTACACAATATAGATGTAAAAAATCTCATCGTCTCAGTGATTTAGGAATCATCATCTTCCATGAATTTCTTCTGACATAGCTAAGTAGCTTTAATATGTTAGATACCTTTCCCTGCTATTTAAATTTATCTTTATGGACTTGGCGATATGCCCAAACTTAAACTAAGCTATACTAGACTAATTATCAAGACTATCCCACCAATTAAGTATCCCTCAGAATTTACTGTAATCGATGCAAAAAACTGTTGCAGATTAATTAAATAAATTAGTTAAATAAAGTGATAGGCTGGAGTATTTATAAGACGAGTTTTAGTAATGATTCCAAATTTGGCCTAAAGTCAAATCATCGGTCTCATTATTTTACTCAACTTTCTACTCACTCAGGCCACATTCATCTCTCCCACCTTGAATATTTAAAGCTGAAGATGTAATATCGCAACTTCTCTTGTCCACCTCGTTGTTTCTCCAGTACTATCCCGCACTTTAACTGCACCAACAACTCGACCTTTTCAAGAGTCATTTTTATATCTCTCAGCAGAACCAACATTCCACAAGTCTTATACAACTAATATAATAATTCTTGAATTGATATCAAAATTCAATGTGAATTACATTGGCAATAGTCACACTGATATTGAGGGATGATGTTTAGAGATAACACGAGCGATGTTTAGGAGACCAAAGTTGATGTTAAGGAAGACAAAAGATGGCTTTGATAGGCTTTTGAATGTGATAGTAGTTAAGGATGATATTGACAGTTGCTTGTTACGATGTTGAAAGTACGGGAGCACATTGAAAGTAGTTGGGCTACAATTAAAAAGATATCAGAGACGGTATTGGGTAACGCAGAAGATGAAGTGACAGATGTCTCACAGTCTGCGCAGACGATATGCAGAGTAAATAAAATTATGACTAAAGATGTTAAGAACAACATTAAAAGATATCAGAGACAATGGTGAAAGATGTGCTGAAGGATATCAAGGATAAGATTGCAAGTAGTTGGGCATGTATTAGGAAAATAATACGGGGCGATGTTGATTGAGATGAGGTCGATCATGAGGGATAGCAAAGATTATACTAAAAGTGGCATCTAAGTTGAATGATTGTGGTAATGATAAGACTTTGAGAGATGTATGGAACGATATTGGTAGTAGAGAGATGGTATTTTGGTAAATCAGGCGCTAACAAATGATAGTTTTTTATCATTTATCATTATCCGTTTTTTTACTGACATCAGTTTGTAAGAGGAATGTCTCCTCCAACTGTAGGCGATGAAGTTCTAATTGTCGACTTAGCTCTTGCTTGATAGCTTTGACAACTTCATCTGCATCTACCATCGAGTGGAAGTTTGACAATCTTATCGGTATCGCCGAAAACAAAGTCTTTTTATTCTTTAGTAACTTGGATAATCGAAGAAGTTATTTCAAAATAAACATTTCTTGTTGAAGAAATGTTGTTTATGTAGTTGCAAACATTTGAAGATTTGGTGGAAATGCTCTAAATGTTGCTGTGGTAGTCATCACACATCAATATACAGAATCTACCAGTAACCAGAACGAAGATACAGACAAATGTTTACCTCAGCTTTGCGTGATAAATTTGTAATGATTAACTTAGCTCATGCTTGATGTCCTTGACAACATATTCTGTTCAGCTTTCTGTATTCTCCAGTAACTGACAGAGCCTCAGACAAACCTCTTAGGTCGTCTTTCACAGAAAGGTGGTGAAGGCTTTTTCAGAGATCACACGATATTTGTTGAACTTTTCAATGTTCTGAATGCTATGAGGTAATTTGATCCTGTTACAAAATTTTTTGAATACTGAAACAGAAACTCACCTAACTCAGGCCTCAAATTTTGGCGTTCAACCGCAAAAGTTTTTTACCGGTTTAACAGGAGAAACAATTTGGACATCGATCTTGATAGTTTGAACTCAGTTTAGCGATTACTTTGGCTTCTTCGGATTTGCTCTGGTTCAATCAAGCTTTTTCGCTTTTTAAAGTTGCTGATGTGTTGAGTAAAAGCAACTCAACCTATGACAAGAGGAGGCTGGTGTTCATGAAAAGATGATCTTTTCACGAACTTTTTAGGTGTTGACGTCATCGCAGGATGTATTGATAATTCACAATGTGCTTTGTATTTGGAATGAATTTTTCGTGATTAATATAAATTCGGTTTTATTTTCACAAATTGTTTTGTCTTTGAAATGTTCAGGCAATGTGACAAAAATAAAAGTAATTTTTATTAAAGAAAAGAGATTCCATCATAATTTTACAAAATGATTTATTAGGCCCACACTTTTATTATTTTAAACTAATTTTGTATCATCTGTGAGTGTAAAGATTTTTATTACAAGTCGAAACTGCCTTTCTTCTAATAATTTCCTCGCGTTGCTCTCTTTTTGCCTTAAAAAGTCTTTTGTATCTTCGGTTCTCAAGATGTAGGGGCATAATTACGAAGTCTGGTAATAGGCATAATGGGCATCATATTGCACGCCAACTGTTACGCTATGTAACAAGTAGGTACTAAAAGAGGGTTTTAGTTGTTTAAAAGATTGCATTTACATTACAACGGTTTCATTGTTATCTTATTCTCGACATTATATAGTCGGTTTTATCATTATAACCATTCGATAGGTGCCAAAAATATCAAAATAATAATTTATAAATGATATGTTATATGAATAATAAAATTACCACTGGACCGATTTCAAACAAAATAAAACTGTTTTATTGAATATTTGCCAACATAATATGTAATAATCTTGTCACGTTTAAGGTTACCAATATTTTCCGTCATTCAAAACCATTTGTTGATTATTACATAAATTTGTTTTATACAAAACGTACTAAACATGATACGAATTTGAAAGACTGTATTTACGTACATAGAGCAGGTAAATAAACCGTTTGTACTTGACCGAAAGATGCATGTGGGTAATTTGTTTGCTACGTACTTAAGGTGTATGTAAAACATCAGTGAAACTGCGAAACCCGATGAATTATTACGAACGTTCCGTGTGCTGCTGAGTAATAAACGTTCGCAGCGGCACGTTGAGGACAGTTGCCGAAATGTTAATGTTGAGTGCCAAGCGCAAATGTTAATTCCCCGGAAAAAACGAAACCCTCCCCAAGCCAAACTTGAAAATTATGAACTATAATTAAAAATAAACGCGGTAAAGTTCGTTTGCCGGTTGGTTGCGAGATCAACGCCGCCGTTTCCCACTGCCAGCGTTTGTAATTGGACAAATTGTTGTGTCTTTGGAATGTCCAGACAATGTGACACAATTTTCTAGTTCTAAAAAAAAATGTCTTGATTAATTTTGCTTTATTCTGAGAAGATGTGTTTTAGTTTTGGCTAATGATGTGATTTTTTAATGACATAAATTCCCAAAATAATTAAAAAGAAAATCTATGTACTTTAATAAGATTATAACATCGAATTTTTATGTTCTCTTACTCAACTCAACGTGAAGCTCGCACTAAAGAGCAGCACTCCGGGACTGTAGTATATTATATGATACATCGTAACCATACATCGACGTATTAAATGCATCATTTGCCATGTCTACTTTTGTATGGCTCACCTCACACATATGCAGTCTTAATGCAATCACTTCCGTATTCAAAGCTAAAATCTGGATGTCTACTCACACATATACAGGGGCGTAATTTAACATGTTTTCAATGGCTGCGGTAGGTATTCCACTAACTGTAGCAATGGAAGTTGAAAGGTTAACTTCCTAGCATCCACGCTATTACACAACGAAACAATGCCGCATGACTACGTTTCCGAAACATCTCGGGATGTAGTTGAACTCTGAAGGCTTGTAGGTATGTTACTGAGGTAGAAACAAATGGATTTCAAGCCCAGATACTCCATAATAGTGTGACGATGGGAAACAATACCCAGATAATAAATTAGAGAACCTTTCTGTATTTACATGCCTATACGATACTACTAATATGATCTCAAATGTCATATAAATAAATCTTATCATATATTCAAAGTAGAATTGAGGTTGGTTTTCCTTTGTCTACTTCTTTATACAGTACTGAGGCTTATACCTCAACATCTGAAACTGAAAATGGATCAACCTCAAAATTCCTATTCAAAAAATTATTACATATTCTTCCAGAGTGCAATCATGTACCAAGATGTTTTGGATCTCCATTGTTACATTAACAGAAATACGGAAATTAAACATAAAAATGGAACACTCGACAGCACCGTTGGACCAGCGTCCGCTGGTGAAGTTCTGAGAGTACCTAAAACTTCCTTAGCCCTAGATGGAAATAACATTGTTATAATTAACTATGAACTAACACTATTAAAAAAGTTCAACTCCCTTTGCTCCGTAAAGATCTCACCATCAATCAGGCAAAATTGGTTGCAGAAAATGTTGATCATATTATCAACGTCAGCTTAAGAGAAAAGACTTTACTTGTATGCAAGCAGTTTTAGGTTTAAATAGCAATACATGACGCATGTATAGCTGCGTTACACTCTAGTGTATAAAGAGAAATGAAATTTGCTTGGGAAATAAGCACGTCAATAAGCTGGGTAAAAGAGTTGCTGCAAGAAACCCTTGTTTTCCCGAGTTAACAATTATCCCGTCTTTATAATTGATATTAAGATCATCATTTTAGTTTATTGTCCAACTTCATGCCTAGATATTTAACTTTATTGCATAATGACGATCGAATATTTGCAAATAACAGTATTTTTGTTCGTTAACGTTTTGCAATCAGTTAAACATAATTGTTTACGCGATTTATTTCTCAATTAGTTTTGGTACTTCTTATTTTCTGTTATGAAGATTTACGTGGAGTTACGTTTAACAAGAACGGTCAAATGATCCGCTTAACCAATCATTGTAAAGTTAGCTTCAATAAGACGTTCAATGAGCTTGTGTATGGTTAGCTTCTCTTTAAGTATAGCATTACTAATAATAAGATTAACGATCTTGCTTAGTGTGCTTTTAATCCAACTACACATGGTCGGTGGCACATTATGCTTTAATAAATCCTCGTGAACATTGAAAATAACCTTCTTGTCGAAAGTTCTCTTTATACCTGAATACTACCCAACCCAAAGCGGACTTCTAACAGTCCAAATTCTCACGAGCAGATCTGTTTTTATCATGTTTATGATGGATGTTTTGTTCAATTGGATTATTTAATTCATGTACAAAATACGATGTTGACTTGACGTATTATTACCGCGCATACATATTGTAGAAAACATGCACAGAGAGTTTCATAATTATAAAACTTCTGAACTAAATGAATCCTATTATTTCTAAAAGTGAGTGGTAGTGGTAACAATTTTTTAATTTGATACTTTTTAAAAATACAAGGAAAAGTAACAGTGCTCACTAGCTTTTTCAGATATACTAATGTATATTATTACTAATGTATACTAACCGCAGACATTGTAAGATAACATAAAGTAATACATAACGTAAAAGATATAATGTAGCTGCGACATAAAACATTGATAGATAACACCCATTAATATATTTATCAATATGACAATAATACAAAAAAAGGTTTCTTTCCAAATATTTACAAATATATACGAAATTATGTAGTGTATGTTGATTCTCTGAACAATAATAATAATACAGATAGAGTTCAAAAATAGCAATTTGGAAAGTCATTTAGAGGTGAGTCAGTTTCGAGCCTTTGATGTGGCGAATGCTCCTAATTTCTTTTGACCTAGTTTATATATTTATTGTACTTCGTCCTACACAATAAAAGAATTCTCAGCAAAGCTTTTTGCGGCAATGTGCCAGAGCTTGCTGCCACTTTTCTGTTTATCTGACCTCATCCATAAGCTAACGGTTCAAGATGAGTCCAAAGATCAGAATTGACTACTCATCACAAGAATCAAGCATTGTTTGAAAATAAAAAGAAAATATAGTGATTGAAAATCTTTTTGTAAGCTCCCTCAACACACCTTCCTTAGTTTGTTATCTACATAGTTCCAGAACTAGAATTCAAGTTTCTGTATTCTTCGATTGTACAACTTACTGTTGGATTTATTTTACTAACACTAACAACTTTTTCATTGTATAGCTTTTTTTTAGTTGCTCCGGAGGTTGCAGAACTTAGTTGCGTCTTTTCGAGCTTAGAGCTGAGTGATCATCTCCGAAATATGACTGTGTCAAATACGGTGTTGCTATCGATATCACTTGGGCGACGCTTCTTTTAAGCCATTTGTTACATTACGAAGGTACTATAAATTTTTCTTCAGAATTGTTCCATTCCTTAAAAATTTGCAACAATTAATTACCGTTATAGTCGCCTGTGTGGTTTAGCTCTTCATCCCTCAAACGCCCAGAATCGTTACTCCGAGAAAACTTTTGATTTGCCATCTATGAATGAAAAGATTTCCAATTAGCTAATTTAACTTTAAATCTTATTGTTAGTTATTAATATTTCTATTTTTAGAAATAAAAAAGTAAAACAATTTTTTTCTTTCTTTCATAATGACCTATTTTTTTCAATTTTTAAATTGGAGTGCTCATAAAGTATAAACTTATTAAGGTTCGTTAAAGTTTACGATACTTCTTCCATAAAAATATTCCTTCTCACTTCTCAGTTTTCATTTCTTTCTTTTTAACACCAAAGTAAGAATTTTCTGTCGACGGGACGATATGATGATATCGTGTGCAGTAGACAGAGCGCGCACAACGCAATGAACTACACTCAACCACTACGACTACGACTACCAGCAGAGCACAAACGAACAACGCAGCTTAACGTTATTCGTGCTCCGTTGGTCTTGTAGTGTAGACGTTCGTTGTTCGTAACACGCGCTCGTTTATTATAACGAAATCGTTTTCGCAGTCTCGTACTCCTTTTCATCTTTTTGTCGTCCTTGTACGCACAAAAAAAAGAGATCATTGTTCGTCAACGCCTAAAGCCGTAGTTTTTTTCTGGTGATTTTTAAAGTGGGTTTATTTTAAACGTTTTCGTTTTTATTTGGTGCTTTTTATCTATTTTGTTGTATACCATCACTAAAATGTGAGTATAAATATTACACCGTATCGTTATCGGTTCACAAAAAAAAAATAAATATTTATTATCTCTAATCTTATCTTTTTTGGTAAATGGTGTATAAACAAGTTTTGTAACTATGTATAAACATAGTTGTAAACAATATTTTTTTAATACATGAAATGTTGGTTCTAATGGCGTAGTGGCAATGTCCGCGGTTGCAAGAAGTACGTGTGGGCACTGTTTCGATAGAAACCTAACCAGACTTGCAGGTTTATCCCGTCCACCTTTTCTTCTCCTGCACATACCTCTTCAATAACCTTCTTGGAGCTTGTCTTGGTGTAGCGTAATGCGTTTAGAGACCGAGGTCAGCTCATTATACATTCTGCGGCCAACCTAATAGTGTACTCGACGGCCGTAATTGCTTTGGTTATTCGATTCTGGTTCAAATGCGTACGTTATATTAACATGTTTACCCCAACTAACGGTGCACGTTTCGGTGTAATTAAACTTCGGGTTGGATTAATCCAGAAATTGAATCGATTTTATATTTAATCAAACTACTTTTGATACAACATTTTATGTAAACATCCAGAAGTGAATGTCTTAAGTAAATAGAAAAACGAGACATTCATTTCCTATTACATACGACGTAGTTTGATTTTGGTGCTTCTTTTATGCAATTTTCATACATTTCATTATATCATGTTAAATCGAATTTAAATCAATTCCGTTAACATGAATATTATTTTAGTTAAAAAAAGAAACGAATAAATTGGTTCCAGGAATTTAAATAAAACAACCTAAAATCCTTGAAATTTGGATTTAACTCAAATTTGCCAATTTAATCAATTTTAATGTAAAATTACTAAATTGATAATATTAAATATGAAAACCTGACGTGAATATGTTTTATTGAAATATTTTCTTTTACGAGCAGGTTTAAAGTGAGAATTTTTAATCAAATACACTTTTTTATTAGCTGCTACGTAATTACCACTACACGCTTTCCTATTCGAATGGTTTTATTGAATTTCACTTGCACTACTGCAGCGAATTCAATAAAAATTCCAATCATTTCTGGTTAAATCTCGGTTAAAATGACTAACAAACCAGCTCAAAAACTGAATTAAAATTTAAATCTTTGATCAGTTTTGTAATAAATACTTATTTAGGTGTCAAGGCATTAAAGCATTCCTATAAAATATAATTGTGACCATTATTACCGGGCAGCTGTGATACCGTGGGAAATAAGGGATGAGGGGTTTCAACATAATGGGTTATTTCAGTTTTTAACGTTTTTTTAGCTCGTATGGAATTTCTTAGGCATTGAAATGTAATGTTAATGTTGGCAGTAGAAAAATTAAATTTTGCATTAATAAAATAAGTTATCAGTTTTCTCTTGGATCCTATCAAACAGCGCTGTATATACACCATGCGAAGTGATAATGTAATACATAATCTGTTACGAATGGAGGCAATGAGAGAATATAAAAGTACATTACGTCCACATAATATCCGTTAGTTTAAATGATCTTTTTTTTTTTTTTTTAATTCTGGTCCTTTCCTTTAAGGACGGAAAATAAGGCTAAAAAGCTTAGATACCTTATCTTTTTGCAAATACTCGGATAAATTAATCTATGTAGCTGAATCTGAGCACTAAACTTTAGAATCTTACTTAACCTTTAACAGAAAAGGATACGAGGGGTGAGAAAGCTCTTAACCTCTACTACACCTTTGACGACATCATCACGGTTAAATTAAACCAATTAGAGAAAGCCCCTTAAGAGTGAAATCACTGTCGTTAAAACCACATCAAAAACGCAGTTCTCAACGCATTGCAGTATCCTCCACGGTCTCTTAACGCTGGTGGTTACCTCATTCGTCCACCCTAATTGTTCGTTGACATCTCAAGATTGTTGGGTTCTACGAATAACTCTTATCCGCAACTATAGAAAGTTATAATTATAAATAAATGCGTTATTGATCAATACCTTCCATGTTCAACCCAAATCTGGTCGAGTCGTATCTTCATCCCAAAATAGTTTTAAACTTTAAAACTTACATAGATAACTACATACTCGAGCTTATCCGTGGAGTTAACAACTAACTGATTGAATCTATCTAGTTTTTCTTCGTGCATCTATTTTAATAACACTTTCATGAAGCCATAAAGAAGTAATAAAACTTTTTACATCAAAACATATATCTTAAAAACAATTAACTTTATCAAATCATCATCATTTAAGAAAGTGATATTTCATCATTTCACATTAATTCTTTGATGTGATTCTTAGACTGTTAATCTATTAACCTGTCAGGTTTCCTTTTAAGTCCGATAATGGCAAACCAGTTTTAAATGAAAATTTCTGAACAGTGTCTTTATCAAGAAAACAAGTTTCTCTTTATCGCCTTTATCATTTTCATGTTATCTGGGAATTTGCTTCTTCGAAGAAATAAGTTGCAATTGTAAACAATGCATCTTCCAAAATAGCAAGGATGTCTTCATGAGTATCTACATAAATCAGTCAGTCTAAAATGTTACCTAAAACTAAGATAATCAAATGGATACCTTTTAGAAATGTTCCCATGATTCCACCCATACTCGGCTATTCATCTATGAAGACTCATTCTGCGATCGTGCTAATTAGGACAAATACACAAGATGTGTTTAATAGTCGTATTGTTCCCAACACAAGAACGGTACAGGAGGTTATCGACAATTTTGTTTACCTTACAGTAAATTGTAACGAGCCATATCAACAGGTATGCCACAAACCTATTAACATTTAAGAACCCTATATCTATACATGGTGATAAAAATACAATTATAGGATTGGTATTTCGAATTGTAAAAAACCTTGACATCCAGTGGTGCTTTTATTTCAACAAAATTTGTAAGATGCCCTGGAGCATTGCCCAAAAGAGAAGAAATTCCTTAGATAGTAATTTATTTCAAACAGCTCAAGCTTTTTTGTTCCATTTCCAAAAAAGGCAATATGTTTTTATTTAAACCTTTTGAAGTATATAGTATTTGAGTAATACACTAATAATCGGTTCAATATTGGCCCGAAACAAAAGAGTAATCTTTCACAACGTGAAAACTTGGAGCGAAACGTTTTCTTGCGGGAAATAAATGTTTAACTTGGTTCAATAAAGCCCAGGCTTATCATCGATAAAGTTTAAATGAGGAAAATAGTTGCCTTGTTCTTCAGAACCGCGAAATTCTGAAAAGCAGACCCCGTAGCAGCATCTGCACTTTGGATTTAATATCTAATTATATTGAGCCAAGGAAAAATATTTTTTCGAAAAATTTTACTTCTAGTTATAGTTATATAGAAGGTTTATATTTATTTATTAAGGTTTATTTATTTGCACTTGTTTCGTGATGGTAGTTTCTAGACATATGTATATGTTAATATTTTAATATTAATTGAATGTAAACTTATACAAACGCAACAATATTAAACAGAAAAAATAAACTTATTCAATGGAAAACTTTACGTCCGACTCAATGTACGATACTGACTCAGCAACGCTAAACGATAATCAGCGGTGTTGTTGTGAATTAGCGTAAATTGAGCCGACGTAAAAGGTCTACAACGGAGAGAATGTTCTAGTTTTTTGTTAGGTTCTTGAATTTCCAGAGAGATTAAGTTTGTTCTATTTGTTAATATTAATCAAACAGAAGATTCAGGAACATTGATTTTCAAAAAAGTTTGCTTCCAGGATAGGATTAAGGACTATTGAAACAGCACTTTAATTTCGCCCTTTCATTTTATAAAAATACATAAAAAAACAATCCTTTTGTTAAAGTGATCATGTTCTTGAGAGTTTACAATAACGTTTTATGTAATCTACCAGTGATGTCTAAGGTAATTTTTATACCATTTAAGCTGGATTCTTAAAAGATGGATTCTTGTTAGTGAAAAACATCGAGAATTGTGTTTATGTAAGATGAAGGTGTGTTTAATAACTATAGTTTTACGCTCTATTACAGACGTAATTATTATCGTGCGTGTGATGTCTTTACAACTTATTAAATATAAATAAAAATTCTTTACAGATTTGTTCGCACAACGTTGTCAAACCAACTGATTTCAAACTCGAAATTTCTACTGACATGTGAGTGCATTATTTGACATGAGCGACTATAAAACGAGTTTCCATCCAATTAGCAATTGTTTTATGAATAAACCTATTTTTATTTTCATAATTGTTTCCCCTTTGGCCTGACTTCTTAAATAGGAGAGGCTTGTTCGATTTGTTTTTTCCTTCTATCGTTTCTATTAGGTTCTACTAATTATCTTGTTTTGTCCAAAGCCTTACAAAATAATTCTCTTAATTGGCTAAGGTAAAACATTGCCACTTTGTTATACGAGGGATATCCGGTTCTAAAAGTACGTTCGCGCGGCACAACTCCTACGTCGTTCCGATCAAGTTGAAACATGCACGCATTTTAGATGTGCATATGTACTGCGTAGTTGGCTATTGTCTTTGCTTTAGGTTCAGTACATCGTGTGTAGTGACAGCTGCACAATGTAAGTTTTAATCGAAACATACTCGAAGTTTGAAATCGACAATCAACAACGATAATTATTGCCAAACTCTCGAAAAATTACACAAAGTCATTCGATAGAAACGAAGAGGAAGGTTGACGAAAGTAATCACCATTGTTGCATGACCTGCCTCCTCCTGATTTTCAGTAGTTTGGGCCGTGGCAAGCTCATTTGTCATTTAAAAAGTTTGGTGGTGACGAATAACTTCAAGATGAAGTAAGGCGGTATTTTAAAAATTTGGATCGCACCTTTTACGAAGAAGGTATGTATACAGAAGTTTGTGCTTCGCTGGGATAAGTGCCTTAACATTGGCGGTGATTATATTAAAAAATAGCTATCTCCCTCGTACAAATAACTGTTTGTTCGAAGGCACCCGAGATATGTTTTTGCTAATCGTAATAGACTGGAGCAAGGTCGTTTGGGGTCGAGGCGCTACAATGAATACCCTTAAAGATAATACACGTTTGA